CTTGCTGCGTCCCCTGCGACGCTGAATCCATGGGATCCCTGAGCTGTTGTCTGCTGTAAACGTTTTTTTTTTCAGAAGGGTTATTTCAGACTCTTGTCTGGTGTGTGACTTCTTTGTTTTGAACTGCCAGCACAAGGGAGAGGGCTGGATTGGGGCGTGAAGTGGGGATATATGTCACTCACCCTAGCTTTGGCATCCAGGTCAGACCCTGACAGCATTGGAGGCTGTCAGGAAGCAGCAGCCCAGTCTGGACCAGTCTTATCTATCCTGCCGTCTGGAAATGATCCCCAAAGGGACTGAATTAACCGACTCAATTCAGTCGAGCGCCGCCAAGCAGCCACTCTCGCAGGGCTGGCAGGGACCTGCTTTGACGTGCTTGCTGCCCATGCTGCTGGCTGCTGTGTGTTTTAGCTGAGCACACACGTCCGGAGCTCTGCCCCACCACCACACGGCTCCTTTCTACAAGGTATCTTGGTCCCTTCCAAAGCTGTAGGGAGGCACAGGCTCCAGCCAGGTTCACCCTGGTTTGTTCCTTGGACCAAGCACCCTGGTCCCACTGTCCCAAGCCACCCACATCCCCAGTGGTGCAGAGCTGGCTTCAGCAGGCTCAGAAATGAATGCATGAATGAGAACTAGAAAGTCATGCTTTCATCTTCCGGCACCAAGCCCGAGGCTCAGCTCCCCTCCTGTCTCCAGATTTGCTCAAATTTCACAGCTTTCCATCCGTCAGTTTGGGTCAAACCGCTGTTCAACCTTTTTCGCCCAATCCATCAATTTCCACCCAGCTGAGGACAGTGCAACCTGGGACAAAATCCCTGGGTCCACTACCCGGACACGGGTAGCAGGGTGCTCGCTGTCCAAGAGTAGGGATGGCAGGTGGGAACTTTCCAAATACCCGGAACCTTGAGAGCATCAAAGCTGGCCAAATGTGCCTCTTCCTTTGACCCTCATCTTCATGTGGCTTCATTGCACAGATGCTGCCTAATGAATGTTTTGGTGGGAAGCCAAGGGCTAATTGGAGCCGTCACTAATTGCATGCTCTGCTCTTTGACTCCCTTCCAGTTGGTGCCTCTGGGTCACCAAGGCTGGAGACTTCCACGGTCCGGACATACTCCTGCTGAGAGTCAGTGTGACGGGAACCAGCCTGGCCCTGGGTAAGTGCGAGGAGGACTGAGGCCTCGGAGCTGGATGGGGACCAAGAGGAGAGCAGGAGGCTCAGCGTCCTCTGCCTGGCATCACCCAGGCAGGGTGTTTGCCTTCACCAAGGTTTGCCTTGCCATGGAGGACTATGGGGACCTCAGTGGTGGGGGAACAGCCCGCTGCTGCCTGAGGCTCACAGGACTCTGAGATGATGCAGAAGGGATGCTCCTCATCCCAACCACGTGTGGTTTGTCCAGTCCCTGGACAGACAGCTCCACTGGGGACCTTGATGATGCCATCCTAGATGAGGGGTCCCACTGGGGTGAGGGAAGGATAGTCAAGCACTTCAGAGAGGCTCCTGGGATCCTGCTGTGCCCTGGGGCATGGTTCCCCTGTGCCAGGAGGATTCCTTACTGACTCCGACCGGGTTTGTTGGCCTGTGGGTGCACAGATGGAGGTGAGCCACCACCCTCACGGGGCCTTTCCCACTTCATTTCTCAGCACATCCCCACTCTCCGTACGGCCACGTGCTGGCTGCCTTTCAGGACAAGAGCCCAGCCTGCGCCTCTTCCTCGGTCCAAACCAACAGACGCTGCAGTCGTGCTGCTGTGGACCGAAAAGGATGCTCTCCCTTCTGCTTGTGCCCCCCCCCGCTCCCCCTGGCTCCCTGTGGCTCCCGCCTGTGGCTTGTCTCCCACCTGTCCCCACACTGGCCAGGCCACGGATGCGCTCGCTGGGTGCCCGCTTCGTCACTGGCAGAAGCGTGGTGCAATCTGGTGGAGCGGCAGAGACACCCCGAAAGCGAGCTGCGATATTTGGAAACCTTTCTCCTGCCTGGTTCGTGTTGCCAATACACCATGGGCTGCTACACTGACTCGCCCGAGGCCCGGGCATCAGGGATGCTGCTGCCCACAGGACTTGAAGCCAAGGAAGATTCAGGCTCGCAAAAATCCTCACACCGGGGCGGCTGGGCAAGGAGCTGTCCCCAGGGGAGGCCAGGGCCAGTGCCAGGGTTGGTGCTGCATGGGATGGAGCGAGGACCGGCCATCGTGGGGGCGAGGAGGGCAGCTGTCTGCCAAGGGGTGGGCGGTCAGGGTGCTGCGTTTTGGGGTGCTGCATTTTGAGGTGCTGCCAGATGCCACGTAGGAGGGGAGGCTGCGCCTGCAAGGCGAGTCCGTGAAGGGCTGCGTGGGGAAGGGCTGGAACTGCCTCTTATGGCTCACTGCCGGCCAGGACGGTACCCAGCACCCATGGGAGAGGGGACCCTCCTTGGATGCTTGGGGAGACAAGACGGGGGCACCCACTGCCCTGGGACGTGCCCAGCCCTTCCCTTCTGGGTGCAAAGGAGACACTCTCCCCTCCTGCCTCCAGGCTATGGGCAGGGATCAATCCAGGAGGCTCTTAACTCTTCCCATTTCTTCCCCGTAGGGTAGGATCTCTTCGTCTCCTCATGCCACGTTTGCCTTGTGTGGCCCCTATTTCTGATGTGATATTTATTGATGGCTGGAATGACCTTATACTTATCATGTGCTGTCTGGAAGTGCAATATCTGAGAGGCTATACAGTCACGATGTCTTTTCGGTGTATTATTTGCCTAATACAGTATTAAATATTTTTTTAATTTGAAGAGTCAGTGAGCCCTTTATATCGATGCCCTATTTCTTTCATCATATTATTGGTACTGCATGGACTCCAAACCCTGGATCGGGTCAGGAAAGGATGTATGTGTGTTCCAATAAACAGGATTTTAAAACAGTGCTGGCTTGAGCCTTCTTTCTAGAGCCCAAATTAAAAATATAATTAATCTTTAGCTCCCCCGGGACTTTTTAGGGTACAGGGTTGAGTCCCCGTTGCAAACCAATGAAATCACTGGTCTTTGCAGGGCTGATTTAAGCGTGGGACATCCAGTTCCCACCTCTGAGCAACCTCACTGAGGTCCAGCTGGATTTTTTGATATGGAGAAATCCCCAACCTGGGGATGAGGGGAGACCTGCACAGAGGGGAACAGCAGTAAAGGAAGCCCCGAGCAGTTCAAACAAAAATGCCTTTATTTTAAAAAAAAAAAATCCAAATAAGTTAGCAAAAATAATAATTAAAAAAAAAAACCCAACAAACAAATGGCAACTCCACACAGCGTTCAGTAGAAAAGACAGCATGGGCAGCCTCCGCGGGGCTCAGCACCCGCAGGACACCAGCCGGAGAGAGACGTTGGTCGAAGAGCATCTTGGAAAAAAAATCAGCAAGCGAACCCAGCACACACATTGGCCCCCAAAAACCGATTACCCCTGGACGGGGAGCGAGGCAGAGCCAGACACAGGGCGGCTGCCCGCACATCAACCGGGGCTGCCACCAGCACAAGGCCATGGCCCTGCCAATATCCCACCTCTCCCTGTTATTTTTTTTCAGCTGGCTGGGCAGGAGCGTTTTGCAAGGAGTGGGAAAGGAGGTGAGTGATTTCAGCGGCGCGGTCCACAACGCTGGAGGGGTAAATAAGATTTCCAGCGGCTGGACCCTTCCGTCATCTTCTTCCCATCCTGTTACCAGCTCGAAGAGCCGCTGGGGTTTGCACCGGCTCAGTTTTGAACCTGCTCCTCCTGGAACGTCACAGCCACGTCCTCCACGGCGATGCTCTCCACGATGGAGGAGAGCGAGTGGAGGTTGCGGTCCTCCGCTGCGTCGTCAGCCAGGAGGTGATCTGCAGAGAGCAAGGGCGTGATGACTCTGCTGGGGACGATGGGGAACCATGTGCTGGGGATGGCTCCTGGCTCCATGCAGGAGGGGACCCCGTGATTCCCCGCATGGCCAGAGTGACCTGAGGACCTGCTTCCAGCTCCCACTCTGCAGGGGGGATGAGACCTAACCCTGGAGAGGGCAATGGGGAGTGGATCTTTTGGACACTTTTTAGGTTTTATTCCCCATTGGAAAATGACATTTAAGTTTCTGCCTTCTGCAGAAAAAAACAGGTGGATTTGGGGGGGATAACTGCAACAATGGAAAAAAAAAAAAGAGCAGCTGCAGAGGGGCCATGGGGAGGGAAAGGGAGCCCAGGGCAGTGATGGTCAGTGATGCTTAGTGATGCTCAGCATCGCAGCGGGAAAATCCAAGCCAAGGGACTGCAAAAGAAGAACCCTTGATGCCACCAGGGTCCTGGGCTGCTGCAGTTTGGTTTCTCTGCTCAACATCTTGGTGAAATCAGGCAGTGGGAGAAGCCTGGACTTGCTGAGCGTTGAGCCAAGGAGGTGCTGGAGAATTTTGTGAGCCTGCGGGAGCTCATCTCTGTGCAAGAGTGGGGTGGGAAGAGGACAAGGCTTCTTTTGTCCTCTGCTCTGAGCGTCTCCTGCTTGGGGGAGGTTGGCTCAGCGATGCTCTGCTCCAGGGCTGTGGTGTCTCCCACTGCTGCCCCCCCACCCCAGAGCCCAGCGAGCTGTAGGATGCCAGGGTGAGGTGGGGAGGACCTTACCTGCAGGGGTGGTGCCAAACTCCAGCTGGCTGCTCCACTCGGGGCTGCAGGATGAGCTGCCAGACCCGCACTCACCGGCCACCTGCAAGGAGTCAAGATGCCAACCATGGGTCTTACCTCCTCCAGATCAGCCAGATCCCACCAGCCGCCCCAAAAACACCCCGGGGTGCCCAATCCCCACAACACAATGCCCCTGTGGAGACATGTCTGTCCCCATGTGCAAAGTGGATAGAGGAGCCCACAGCATTCAGGGTCCCCAGGACCCATCAGGACCAGATGCTCCATTAACCATAAAGGCTGAAAAAAGTCCTATTTGGGCTCTGGATGCAGGAGAAATGGGGCCATCCACTCACTGCAGGTAAAAAAATTGTCTTTACCCAGTGACTATGAGAAAGGGCTAGAGACGGACAAATGTCCTTGGGCAAAACAGCTTTTTGCTGAAAATCACCTAATCAGGCTCATAAAAAATGACACACGGGCTGGACACCCTCAGGCCATCCCAAGGGGATTTCTGGGGAAGATCTTTTGGCAGTTTGATTTGTGGATTTGGGGCTGAATGGCTATTCCAGAGAAAAGAGCTGACAGCCTGAAAAATGAGACCGTTACTCAGAAAAGCTCTGAATTAACATTTTTTTGTGTGTGTGTCTTTATCTGGAAGTGGATGCCGGCTCGGGTCAAACCCAAACTGTGATTTATAGGAGAAACCCCAAGGACCCAACTATTTGTAGCAGCCTAGAAATGGTACTTTGGGTTTACAAGCTCATGGCAGCACGGCTAATTAGTTAACACTTGGATTTATTTCCCACTAAAGTAGGAAATTCTTCCAGATATGATTTTTTTTTTCCCCAAAAATACTGGATTTTCCACTCAATATGTGAAGCCCTGGCTATGCCTGGGAGAAGGGATGGCTCGGAGCAGCAGTGACGGGAACAGCTCAGCGTGGTTTTGGGCACACTTGCAGGGGCAGGCAACAAATCCACCCAAATCAAACCCAAGCAGATACCTTGGTTTTACACTGGGAAGTCCCAAGAATATGCAGGATGGAGTGTAAAAGCTTTTTCAGTCCTTTATTTGGCTCTAAATGTTGGGTTATGTTTGTTCCTGCTCCTTTTGTCCTTAAAATCCTTAGTCTGAAAGGAGGTGAATCTCTCTCTTTTTCTGTGCTTCCTATAAAGTCCTTCTGTATCTATATAATTTATATCTAGATAGATACAGATATAGATATAGATATAGATATAGATGTAGATGTAGATGTAGATGTAGATGTAGATATAGATATAGATATAGATATAGATATAGATATAGATATAGATGATATAGATATAGATATAGATATATCTCAGAGCAGTGGGGAAGTGCACACCCAGACATACCCCCAGAAATCAGAGGGCAGATAAAGATATTTCTCAAAACCTTTGTTAAACGACTGAAATCTTGTGCGACGAGTCCTGGCTTGCAGCACCTCAGCTCAAATCGGCACCTTCAGTCCAAGAAACCAGACGGGGTCCCACGCTGACCCCTGTGCCCCCTGCACTGCCCCCTGCCTGTGTCTGCTGTGCCACGCCAACCATCAGAACAAGTCCCCATGCTCCAGCCTGTTGTGGCACCGGCCATCGCATGGCGACGGGGGAGAGGGGAGGGCGGCTGTGGGTTTTGCACCCAGGAGCTTTGATGCCTTCAGGGTGTCAGGGGAGGCAGCGGGTGGGGACCCCCCGATGGTGTTTGGTCAGAGGCTTTGTGTGTTGTGCCACCCTGAGACTTTAGAGGGAGAACTCAGGAATGTGTGTGTGTGTCTGTGAGCAGAGGGATTTCATTTTATTTTATATTTTATTTATTTTATTGGATTTGTTTTAATATTTTTTGTTTTGTATTATTTTATTTTATTTCATTTCGTTTCATTTCATTAAATAAAATGAAACAAAATATGGTAAAATAAAATATTTTATTATTATTATCCTATTTTTAATTATTCTATTTTATTTTACCATATTTTGGTTTGGTTTGTTTTATTTATTTTAATTTTAGGCTATCTATTTCATTTTTGCCTTTATTATCCCTCCCAAGCCCAAGCACACGTGCCGTGCTCCATGCAGTGTTCAGCACAGGATCGCTCAGCCCCCACTACACCCACCCACAAGCAAAGGCTGCTATCGGTCCCTTCGCCTGTGGGGCTGAGCACACAGTTGGGGCTGGATCATTGCTGCCCCGTGCCTCTATACACAGCACATTCACCAGCCCACAACAGCAGCATCTGCCTTGCCCCAGGGCTGGGGATCCCGCTGCCCACAGCAGGACCCAGTGCCCCAGAGCTGCCCGCAATGCCGCTGCTTAGGGCATCAACTCCCGTAGAGCATCACCTCCATAGGGCATCACCCCCATAGAGTATCACCTCCATAGGGCATCCCCCCCGTAGAGCATTGCCCCTATAGAGAATCACCCCCACAGAGTATCACTCCCATAGGGCATCACCCCCATAGAGTATCACCTCCATAGGGCATCCCCCCCGTAGAGCATTGCCCCTATAGAGAATCACCCCCACAGAGTATCACTCCCATAGGGCATCACCCCCATAGAGCATCCCCCCATAGGGCGTCACCCCACGCCGGTCCCCAGCCCAGGTTTGGGGACCCCGGAGGATACACAGAGACACTTACCCCCGGCTGGGGAGCGGCGGGGCGGAAGCGCAGGTCCCTCTGCTCCCGCTCCTGCTGGTTGAGGGTGCTGAGCAAGCTCTGCAGGCGCTCAATGTACTGGATGGCGCTGCGCAGGATCTCCA